TTGTGTTCTTGGTCAACGTCCCATGCACTTACCAAATATCAACCAGCTGGCAACCTTGGGAAAAACTAACGAACAGTCTCCTCATGGCCAAATTCACCACAGTACTCCAATCCGAAACCAAGTGCCAACGATGCAGACAATGATAAACCCTGGGCTCCTGTCTCCTCAGCTCAGTCCACAACTGGTGAGGCAGCAGATAGCAATGGCCCATCTGATAAACCAACAGATTGCTGTCAGCCGGCTATTGGCTCACCAGCACCCACAAGCTATCAACCAGCAGTTCTTGAATCATCCACCCATCCCTAGAGCTGTCAAACCAGAGCCATCAAATTCATCGGTGGAAGTCTCTCCAGATATTTACCAGCAAGTCAGAGATGAGCTGAAGAGAGCCAGTGTGTCTCAAGCTGTCTTTGCAAGAGTAGCATTCAACCGCACACAGGTATCAATTTCTATTCTATAACCAAGAAGTGCTGAGGGGGCAAAGTTGTGGCTCTTGTGGGGCTGTATGGTTGTTGGAAATCAGGGCAGGAGGTGTGCAATAAGAGCAGGTCAAACCACCCTCCATTTTTTTCCCCTCAGTCTCTTTGTCAGGAGTGAACAAGACTGTTTCTTCCTGGAACAGCTGTTCGTTTACATTTGGTCACCCCTGTGCCACTACCTGAGCTTTGTTCTCTAGCAGTAATTCTGCTCATGTCAGTTCTTCCCCGAGTTTCTCTCTGTGGTTATAAACTTCCACATCTGCCCTTGCCTGGTGGCCAGAAAGAGGTAACAAGAGACTGTGAGAGTCAGAGGTGTCTTTGGGCTTCTGTCGTTTCCTCAGTTCCTCACTGCGGTACAGCTGATGCCACAAGTAGTGCCAGAGGCTACTGCCACAAGAAATGTATAAGACAAGTGTGCATAGGCCTAAGGACTGACTGCTGGGAAAGATGTCTGCCATTTGCAGCAGATCGTGTTTGCTTTCATACATCTGACACAGGTTTTCTCACTTGCCTAGTGAAATGCAGATGTTGAAATGATCGCACGATGGCTTCAGCTTAAGCTTAGCACCTGGAGTACCCAGGGTCAATGCATGTTCAGAAAGACAAGCCATTTACATTTATCCTGCTACCAGATACCATTCAAGGCATTCAAAGTATGATCTCTCAACTGTGATACTCTGTATCAAGGCTAAAGAAATGGAAAGTGGCTTCATATTAGAAATGGAAAGTGACTTCATATTTAATATTGGTACAAATCTCTTTTGTGCAATCGGAGTTGGTCTTTGAGATAAGCTTTACCAGCAAGAGCAAACAAGGGCCACGTGCGTGTGTCTCTGGGAGGTCTGTCCCTTGCCCCATACAGTGCCTTTGTCTGTTCTCCTGGATTAATGATTTTCTTTGGCACTGCCATTTTGGAAATGCCATGTTATGAGGGAACTAATTAAAGTATGGAGCACGTTTTTATTACTTCCCTTCTTCCATTAAATTCATAAGATGGCTGCACTCAGAAAAAACATTCACTTCCAATCAACATGACTTTGAGTTCTGGGGTTAGCCTTGAGGATATCAAATGAAAACGGCGTAGGAATGTATGAGTATTTCCTCTTTAAAATGCTGCTTTTAATTTGGAAAAGCTTTTCATCCCTTGGGGATCATAACCCGTTGTATATAAAGCCTGGTATAATCAAGGTAGATGGTATTGACAGAATGACATATTCTGAACTTGAGTGAGAGGTCAGCAGTAACGTTGCTGGTGAGGGTTTTGCCACCGTCACTGAACGTGAAGCTCTGCTTTAGCCAGATCGGGAGAGCTGGGTTAATAATGCCCAAGTCTGCCATTAAACCAAAAGCTCATCCCGCAATGAGAAAGCTGTCATACAACTTGTGTGTTAAATCAACAGTTCTGCTATAATATTTAAAAGGAGGCAAGGTTTTGATTCTGTGTGTCTAGGAAACCCCAAGCCTTGCATATCACTGACCAGACATTCCAGATTGACTTTCTAGGGCAGCAGGGAAAAGGCAAGCATGTGAGAGAGACCGCTCTGGTCTTTTCCTAGCAGTGACACAGCACTGCATCTGCCTATGGTGTTTATTAGCAGCTACAGTAGAGATTGCGCCACACTCTTGACAGATAAGCTGAAATCTGGACTAAATCAGCTGCAGTATGGTTTGGGGAGTTGGGGTGGGTGTGGGTTTTTTGGTTTGTTTTTTTTTCTTTTTCTTTTTACACGGCCAGTGTTCTGGCGTAGGTCTAGTGGTTTTGGGACACTAAACAGGTCTTTGGGTGAAATGTGGTTTCTTCCCAACTTCAGTGGGTCCCGGCAGTGTGACTGTGGACCAGTCACACCTGATAGCATTTTCTAATGCCCTCTATGTCTTTGGACACCAGGTGTGTAACCATTCAGACTGGGCTCACTCATCAGGAGCACAGACCTGAGCGGACATGCCAAGGTAATGTCCTTTGAGAAGGTGCCAAGCACCTTTCCTGGGCAGGACTGCTCCTGGAAATGGGATGTGATACTCTGTCCTCCTGACCAGTTTACATTTGAGTTCAGCATATAAAACGGGGTCTGTAATTCGGGGTACTACTATCACTGGTTTTATCAGTCCTCCTGTCCTCCTGCTGACATTTATCTTAGGATGCGCTAACTTCTCCAGCTTTTCTTTAAAAAAAAAAAAAAATCTTCCTGATTTTGATCACTTCATTACAAGATAGCAGACACATAATTTTGTATGAAAGGAAAGACATTACCTACTTCCTAGCCCTCCATCATAAGTAATGTGAGGTACTATACAGTCCATGACAGATTCCAGAACAGGCAAGTCTTAAACATCCATAAAAGATTTGCTCATCTCACAGCTGTGTTTCATTAGTCTACAGGGCCTTAATATAGAGGAACAGTGGATCTTACATATAGTGCATCATGTCCCTAGGAGCCATCACTGTAGCAAAAGCATGTAGGTACATATTTATGCTTCCCTGTCCTCAGTTTTTAATTCCAACTCAAATCAATCTCCCCTCGCGTCAGAGAGTGTTTCAGGTATTAAGAAGCCTTGTGCTGCACAGTAGAAGATGTTCAACAAGGCTAAGTGCTAGGTCCTGCACTTGGGTCACAACAACCCCATGCAACGCTACAGGCTTGGGGAAGAGTGGCTGCCAAGCTGCCCGGTGGAAAAGGACCTGGGGGTGTTGGTCAACAGCTGGCTGAACATGAGCCAGCAGTGTGCCCAGGTGGCCAAGAAGGCCAACAGCATCCTGGTTTGTATCAGGAATAGTGTGGCCAGCAGGAGCAGGGAAGTGATCATGTCCCTGTACTCAGCACTGTGGTGAGGCTGCACCTCGAATACTGTGTCCAGTTATGGGCCCTTCACTACAAGAAGGACATTGAGGTGCTGAAGCATGTCCAGAGAAGGGCAACGAAGCTGGTGAAGGGTCTGGAGCACAGGCCTTATGAGGAGTGGCTGAGGGAACTGGGATTGTTTAGCCTGGAGGAGGCTGAGGGGAGACCTTATCACTCTCTCCACCTGAAAGGAGGTTGTAGTGAGGTGGGTGTTGGTCTCTTCTCCCAAGTAGTTAGTGATAGGATGAGAGGAAATGGGCTCAAGCTGTGCTGGGGGAGGTTTAGATTGGATGTTAGGAAAAATTTCTTCATGAAAGAGAGTAGTCAAGCATTGGAACAGTCTGCCCAGAGAGGTGGTAGAGTCACCATCCCTGGAAGTGTTCAAAAAACGGGTAGACGTGGCAGTTTGGGACATGGTTTAGTGGGCATGGTGGTGTTGGGTTGATGGTTGGAGTGATGATCTTAAGAGATCCTTTCCAATCTTAATGATTCCTAGTTTTTACTTTCATTGAAAAATAATCCAGCCACCAAGCCAGGAGACATGAAATTATGACTCTACCCTTGACTGTTTTAGTGGTGGACTTGGTAGTGTTAGGTTAATGGATGGACTGGATGATCTTAAAGGTCTTTTCCAACCTAAACGATTCTATGATTCTATGTGGGATGTTCCCACACACCCATGGTGGAGAAGCAAACTCTGTAAAAGGCATGTGAAGTGGAAGTTCAAGTCTGCTCTCACCACCTTGCGCTCCACCTGCTGCCTCCAAGGATCCTCTCCTCAGGAGGTGCAGAGACCACATGTGTTTGTCTTTGGAAATGTTTGGAAGGCACTTCACAGTAAGTGCCTGCCTTAGAAACAGGATGTCTGTTGTTTCTCATGATGGTACCAAATAATAGATGCTGTATACCAGCCAGCTAATAATTGTATTAATCACTGCATTATAGGCCACTGCTTAATCTTTCTTCGTGGTAGCTCTGTGGTGCACATTAGCCTATAATTAAGTATAGCTTCATGAAATATGTACTGTGAGGCTTGTTTAATAGATAAACTATTCTCTAATTTATTTTAAAGTCCAATGACCTATATATTCAGTGCTGAAAAACCCCCTCTTACTAACATTATTTCTCCCCTGAGACCTTCCATCTGAGCAAATCTGTTAAATGAAGTAGAGGAAGCTTTGATCCAAACTAGGCTAAATCCATCGGAACAAATGGCTGACACATGTATGTATGCATGTGTGGGTGGGAAGGGGGACGTGAGGAGGGTCAGAAGAAGGGGAGGTGCAGTTGTATGGTTTGTGAAACATCCAAATCTTCCTCTTAAAATTGGAAATACATGGCTTAAGACAACAGTGTTCGCTTGTACGTGTGGCCATGTTGTCTGCACACATGAAAACAAAGCGCTTCAGGCTCTGTGACAAATCCTGTGCATTTCCCGGGGCACAGTGCTCCCACTGAGGTCCCACTCTGAGATGGGGACTGACCATCAGGCAGCTTCATACCTGCTGTGCGCACGGGAGAGCTGCATGGGGTGTTTGGCTAGGAGCTGGCCCAGGCTGTGTTAGCCACGAAGAGGGTTTCTTTCAAACAGAAAGTTCCAAAGTGAACATTTTCAGATGTATTTGAAACTGGGTATGAAGAATCCTCAAAGTGTGTATGACTGATTTTTAGTAAATGCCTTGGGCTAACCTCTGCACCTTCTTTTTATTTTATCTTTAGAGAGTCAATGTCACAATTTTAATTCACCCTGCTGTGGAATCTAAATGCCTATTTATTCAGCAAACAGGACAGGTAGAAGAGCGTTCTCAGACCCACAGAGACAATATAGTTATTGAAGGTGGTTTAAATGACACTGTTTCCAATGAGTAGGAAATTCCGACACAACCTTCAAAATATTTAAAATGGTGGTGCACACTACCATGTTTGTCTAAGCTGGTGTTGCCTGCAACCTGCTCAGCAATGGTAAGAATGGTGTATGTTGGAAAGACACCCTCTTAGGCTCTATGTATAGAATCATAGAATCATTTAGGTTGGAAAAGACCTTTAAGATTATCCACTCCAACCATTAACCTAACATTACTAAGTCCACCACTAAATCAATTAAGGGTAGAGTAGCAACT